GCTGGGGCTAAAGGGAGCCCCTGCTTAAAAAAAAAAAAAAAAAAAAAAAAAAAAATTTGAGACACGGACTTATCAAAATTGTCCAGGGCTGGCATTAAACTCACTTTGTAACTGAGGTAGGCCTTGAAATTTCTAGCCTGTCTCAACCTCCTTCATAGCTTAGTCCTGCACTACCAGGACCAGCACAAGCAGGTTTTATAGATAGTAGCTGTTTGCTGCCATTATAGATAATTGGGGAAAAAAGTATTACAATATCAATAATTGGAAACGTTCAAGTAAGTAATTTGAATTGCCATAACTTATTAGGCAACATGCAAATACCAAGTTAATCTTGTGTATAAAGATGGCCCTTTTGGCTATTTTCCTCTCTAAAAGGTTTAAGTTTGGAATTGATTTATTATTTTTTATTTACTTATTTATTGAGACAAACCTCACAATGTAGTCTAAGTTGACCTCAAACTTGTGATGCTTCTGCCTCAGCCTCCAGAATGCTGAGACTACAGACATGTGACACTATGTCTAGTTTAAATTCAGAATTCAGTTGAGTAATCTGAGTTAGAATTATGTGATAGGGAAAGCTGGGAACAGAGCTTAGTAGTAGAGCACTTGCTTAGCATTCACAGAGCCCTAGGTTCAATTCTTAACACATTAAAAATAAAAAGAGGGCTGGCAAGATGGCTTAGTGGGTAAAGGTGCTTGCTGCCATGCCTGAGTTCATTTGCTAGACCCTACCTGGTAGAAAGAGAGAACCCACTCTTGCAAGTTGTCCTCAGATCTCCACATGCATGCTGTGGCATATATGTACTCATATACATCAATAAATGTTAACACATTTTGTAAAGAACTACATATGTAAGTATAAGTATGTACTTTTAAAGATTACTCTGCTGGGCATGGTAGCTCCTGCCTGTAACTTCAACACTTGGGAGACTGAGGCAACAGGCTTGCCGTGGGTGATGTCAGCCTAGGCTACAGAGCGTGACCCTGTCTCAGAATATATACATATAATTCAGTATCAGAGGGTGGTGAGTTTATATAGAAGTTCCTTCAAAATCAGCCATTCTCAAGTGGCAAGACTAAAATGTACAGCGTGTGGCCTGATTGTCCAACACTTGAGTGTGTTTACTGTCCAGCACTTGAGTGTTTACTGCAATCCTTGAGACCAGAGGATTTAAGCTGATACTAGTATTTTACTCTAGTGAAGACATTTTTATAGGTCATCCCAATATCTTATCATCTGCCCAATCACATGACATACTTTAAGACACTCTCATGCCTAGCATATTGTTTTTTTAAATATGCATAATTAGAAGGGTGTTTGCTTGTTTGTTTTGGTCTTTTGAGACAGGGTCTCCCTATAGCCCCAGCTGGCTTGGAACATGTCATTATGTAGACCAGGCTGGCCTTGAACTCATAGAGGTACAACTGCTACTGCCTCCCGAGGGCTGGGACTAAATATGAGCACCACCACACCCTGCAATAGTTAGAAGTTTTTTAAAACACAAAATTCTAAAAAGATCAAAATTTACTAGCAATACAAGTTCCTATCAAGTTTGCTGTCCTATCCTGTAAAGAAATGAAGAAAAACAAATACTTAGCAACATTGAACTTTAAAGCTAGCATGGTGTTTTACTGGTAGCAGAGTCCTGGCCATAGCTCTTTTATTGCATGGTTTGTGTGCAGAGCAACATAGCATACTGAGCACGTGATGTGTGTTTTCTCCTTTTTTTTTTTCCTGTTTATTTTTTTGTTTGTTTGTTTTTTTTTTGAGATGAGTCTCCCTGAAGCCCCAGCTGGCCTGGAACTCTCTATGTAGACCAGGCCAGCCTTGAACCCACAGAGACCCACTTGCTTCTCCCTCCTGAGTGCTAGGATTAAAGACATGTGCCACCACACCCAGCCAAACCTGGGTTTTCTTGTGTAACCTGGCTATCAACTGTTTTAGGCAGATCTTATCCTACCTTTGGATAAAGTAAGGCTCCTGTTCAGATCTACTTTATTCCATAGCTTATGCTTTTAATTCTTAGGCTAGATTGTTTTCAGTATATCTACTTTTTAAAAAATATTTTAATTTCATATGTATGAGTGTTTTGCCTGCATGTATCTAAGCATACTACATGCAGGCCTGGCGCCAAGGAGGCCAAAAGGAGGTGTGAATCCCCTGGTACTAACATCCCCTGGGTGTTAGTCAGCCATGTGATTGCTGGGAACCAAACCCAGGTCCTCTGGAAAAGCAGTGTTATTAACCCCTGAAGCATCTCTGCAGTCCCCAGTTTATCCATTTAAAAAAAAAAAAATGTTATTAGGGATAAGGGAAGATTGGAGGGAATTGGGGCCAGATACATGTATGAATATATTACATTAAATATTAATTATTTGGGTCTGGAGAGATGCCTCAGCAGTTAAGAGTTTTTGCTGCTCTTACACAGGACCTGAGTTCAAATCCCAGCTCTTACACCAAGTGGCTTCCAATGCCAGTAACTCTAGCTCCAGGAGATCCAGCACCCTCTCTGACCTCCACAGGTACTTGCACACATATGGCATACTAACATGTACACACACACACACATATATACAATAAATAAAAATAAATTTAAAAAATACCACACACATATATAATAAATAAAAATTTTTAAAAATATTTTATTATTTTTATTTTCTGTGTATGCATGTAGGTAAGTGCACCCGTGTTGTGCAATGCTCAAGGAAAACAGAAGAGGCTGTCAGGTCCCCTGGAACTGGAGTTATGGACAGTTGTTAGCGGCCATGTGGGTGCTGGGATTCAAACCCCAGTCTTCTGTAAGAACAGTGTTCTTAACCGCTGAGCCGTCTTTTCAGCCCTATTATTATTTTATTTTTTATTTTTTGGTCTTTTTGAGACAGGGTCTCCCTGTAGCCCCAGCTGTCCTGAAACTCACTATGTGGACCAGGCTGGCCTCAAACTCACAAAGATCGCCTGCCTCTGCCTCCTGAGTGCTGGGATTAAAGGCATGTGCCACCACACCTGGCCACCCCTTTATTATTTTTATTCAATTTTTTATGTATGAGTGTATCGCTTGCATGTATGTAAGTGCACTCATGTCATGCAGTGAGTAAGGAGGTCAGAAGGCATTGGATGCACTGAAACTGGAGTTATGGACAGTTGTAAATCACCATGTGGGTACTAGGACTCAAACCCAGTTCCTCTGCAAGAGCAGCCAATCTGAGCCATCTCTCCAGCCCCTAAACATAAGTCAAATAAATCTTTTTAAAAAGCTTGCTATTTATTTGTACGTGTGTGTGTGTGTGTGTGTGTGTGTGTGTGTATGTATTTATGTGTGTGTATGCAAACACATGACATCAGGGGACAACTTTGTGGAGGTGTTTCTTTCTACCTTTGCATGGGTTCTAAGAATCTGTTTTAGGTTGTTTAGAGCCTTCTTGCCCACCCAAAGTTTATCAATTTTAAACTTGTTTTTAAAACTTTTAAAAAATTTGTGTGCCTGGGCCCACAGAAACCAGGCCTGACTTTTGATGTGTTTAAGATACTCTGTGCTTAACATTCAGTGAAAATTATTTGCATTATATCTTCTAAGACATAAAAAAATCATAGGCAATTACAAAGTTGGAAAATTTGTCCTAATTTGCAAATCAAAGGAATTCACTAAATAATCTGTAGGGTATGAATGATCTTAAGTGTGTTGAGTGAAAAGCTCGGGGACAAGAAAGAAGGAAAAGGAAGGGAAACCCACAGCCCAGGCAAAGGCATAAGGATTTCAGGAATGAGAAGAGCAGTTAATCAAGATCTAGCAGTTCTGATGGAATACAGTGGTAGATGGTTAGGTGTGTGTATTTATCTTTGAGCTGGGGTCTTGCTATGTAGCCTGGCTGGCCTTGAAATTTCTGGGTAGCCCAGCCTGGAACTTGTAATCCTTCTGCCTCAACCTTTCAAATCCTGGGATTATAGGACTGCTAGATCACTGATATAGCAAAGTTTAAATTTGAGCTCTGCTACTAAATTAACCTCCCTGAGTCTTAGTTTTCTTATTTGTGAAATGAAAATACAATATACTGAGTATGAAATTGAGACAAGATATGTAATATATTTAGAATTTCTGGTAAAGAAAAAAAAAAAGCTAGCTATAGTATCATTTGCTCATAATCTCAGTCCTGGAGAGGTGGAGGAAGGAGGATCAGGAACTCAAGGTCATCCTATGGCCAGCCTTGGCTACATGAAACCCTGTCTCAAAAGTAAAAGAATCTGGTACATGAAATTTCAGTGATAAGTACTTTTATTACTATTGTTCTCTCTTTCTCTGAAACAGAGTTTCATGTAGCCTAGGCTGGCCTGGAACTTAAAGATGTTCTAATCCTCTGGACTCCATCTGAGTGCTGGGATTACAAGCATGCAACACCCACCTGGTTTTTTTTGTTTTGTTTTCTTTCTTTTTTTCTAGTAGAGTTACGTGGCCCTCTGTGAAGCTGCTTTCAGATTTTTTTGACTCTCTTAGTATTTACTTCTGTTTTTGGATTTATTGAAATCCCATATCGTTGGTTTCTCTGTTGGTACTTTACCTTGGCACAAAATACTCGCTTAGTACTTATTATATGTTGACTGTGATGAAGTCCTTAGCAGCAACTCTGTCACCCCTTGGTATCTTCTGTGGTACTCACACTTAACATGTTGTCTTGTGAAGAAAAAAAAAAAACTTCATATATTTGTGTCTGGAATCAATAAAAATAGATCAGATTCAGTCTGCATTCATCCATTCTTCTGGCAGTAAGCTGATAAATTTCCAGTGCAGGTCACGTGAGCTCCAGCCTCTCCTGCAGTATCACCTTCACTTATTTATTTTTTAATTGCTGTTACAGATGGATCTATATAAATACTTGGTTTTGTGATACAATCCCAGTTACAAGGCAACATAGAAGATAGAAACAGAAACCACTTAACACCAGAAATGAAACAAAGCTATAAATGTCTTTTTGGAACAGCAATTCTGAAATTGTTTTTATACAAGATGACAACAAAGACATCAATTTTACTGTTTTACAAATTTAAGTTTGGCTTATATATTTTATTGAAATGGTTACTCTTTAAACATTAACATTATTCTGTCTGCATTTTCTTCTTACAAACTTTTTTTCTCCTTCTGCCATTTAGTTATTCTTTTCCCTGTGTTTCATACTTTTAAAAAATCAGTCTACTTGATTGCAAAGTCAATGGGATATGATTTGGAACTGGTAGTGCCTCTCACTTTATCACTACTATGTCCTGTCTTATCTGAACCCAAGAGAAGAGCCCTGCCATTCCTAAGACTAGCTTGTCACTGCTAAGACTTTTTCAGCCTTCAGTGTAATCTGTTTTGTGTATTTGTTGTAGTTTTCTGTTTCAAATGACTTTCCCAAATAATTTGGATATTTGATGGCATTAGTTTCTAATAACATGTTTAAATAATTTGAATCGCCTTTTCAAAGGAGATTGATTCTTGCTTTTAAAGCACAGGCAGGAAACCTGAGGCTCAAAGGTAAAAAATAGTAGAGAAAATTGCTAGGGATGACACAGCTGCAGCTTCCATTGTGAACTTGTTTGGCTCAGGGACTCCAGGAATGAGAATTCTCAGAATTACATAGCGGAAGAGATATGTTGCCTGGATACCATCCTCTAAGAAGAATAAAAATGTAGTCAGAGTAAGGAGCTTTTTAAAAAGTCTTACAATGAGATAACTGTTCTTACAAGATTTCATATGCCAGTTCTCTTAAATTAATAGACATTCTTTATGTTATTCCTCAATACCTCTTATTTTCTATCTTTTTTAAGAGGAAGACAAAACAGGTTAAAATTTCACTTTAGCATGCGTGAGGCCCATCCAAAACAAAAACAGAAAACCTTAACCCAAGGATAATTTCCTAGGGACTTCGGAAGGAAATACACTTATATTCTGTGAGTACAGTACCATGAGAATTAAATGTAGGAATGAAAAGACCACAGAAAGGGGCAGTACTGAATATCACCCTTTTCCCCAACAGCAGTTGGTTTCCGTATTAGAGACAAGGCTTTAATCACAACTCAGTATCACTTTTCTTCCCTCTGATTTGCTGCCTTCTCATTATAATAAGAAATGTTCTGCTCTACCCATACTGATCAACTTTTTGTGTTATGTTCCTTGAAAGACTAATTTAGATTCAGCATCTAGGCCATAGATATCCTAAGAGTCAAAACTATTAGAAAGGCAAGTTACTGTATTTGAGGCTGCTGCTTGGGTTTTTTTTTGTTTGTTTGTTTTTTAATTTTTCAGACATCTTTGTTCTCTCATGGATTAGCTGTCTCGATAATTTTCCTGGTGAATCCTTTCTAATTTTTTCCAAGATGTTGACAACAAAAATCATAACATGCTAGCTGATCCATTCCCCACCACCCACTTGGTATTCTTACCACCTCTTGCCTAAATATTACTTTGCTTTCCTTTCAGCACAGAGTTAGGCTTTCTTAGAGGCTAAAGCTGAGGAGATACTGAGGTTTGCTTCAGAATCTGGCGGGGATGGGGGGGCCAGTGATTTGTGCATGTACTTGCAAGGCTTTTAGGAAATTATCTTTCTGATGCTTTAAGGCCTAGAATCATCAACTGTCCCACATTTACATCCGTCTAAAATGAAAGAGATGGAGAAATCTTCAACTTTGGGGTAATATTAAATAAACTTCCTTATATCACTCTTTGACCTATTACGAGAAAAATCTAATCTCTTTTTCTAGCTAGTCCAGTCAGCCTTGAAATTCTGGTTTCATGTGTCCTCAGAAAGAGGAGTGTGACTGTACTGGTATGCCAGGGGATCTTTCAACATCCCTAGACCTCATTTTCTCTATAAGACTCTTTTCCTAAGGACATCCATTAAGTGGCATGTAATGAGTATTTGTTTCTTCTAGCAATACCTAGGTCTTTAGGGCATCAGATTTGAGGGACAATCCACGACTGCTCCAACATATATTTTTGATATCTGTAGCAATCCTCTGAACATCAAAACAGAAAGCTTTTCACAGAATTATGTCCCATTTTGGACTCCTTTCTTAGCTCTTATTTTAGGGTTCAATGGAAGTAGGAAGACTAGTTATGGATAAAAATAAAAGAAAATCATTTTTCTCTGTCTCCCACTATTTCAGATCCTTTTTAAACTAATGTCCAAATCTTCTGACACATGAAGTCAAGTCAAAATAGAAGAAACATTTCTTCTCTTCCTCCTCCCCTTCTCCCTCCTCCTCCTCTTAATATTTGGAGTTCCTTAGAAGCAGTTAGACCAGTACATGTTGCAGATAGGTATAATATAAGGCTGTGGGTTTCTGTTTTGACTATCTGAATAATCACAATAATCCAATAAATCTGCAGAAGTGAATAGAAAAAAATTATGAACAGGATTCCCATTTCTTCTTTACAATTGTGATTTGATACTTGAAACATCCTTGGTGAGGCGTTTGAGGTCTATGCAACCTCATCTTTCTCTTTTCTCACCACAAGTGCTTGTCAGCAAACAGATTTGAACCCCTCCCTCCCCCTACTCTGATCTAAAGGCACAAGGATGCCCTGTTAGAGATGGTCAGCATACATCCTTTTGTTCATTTGGTGTCATAGAAGGAAGGTGCCCATCTGAATCTGCTCCATGCCATGTTCACTGCTACTTAGCTGACTTCTTATCTGGCTGAGGGGGTTGTGTGGTTGGTGAATGGGTTCCAATGGCTAGACTAAGATCCTGCCTCCTGGAAAAGCACAAGTCAAGTTCACTGTATTTCAGACAGTTTGGAAGGCTTTGCTCTGGTTAGGGATCGTGCTGAGCGTGGTTTCTGCTTTGGTCAGGGTACCATGGTGGACTTTCTTTGGTTCAGAACCTCTTGCTTCTGGTCCCACTAGGCTGTATGCCTCGGTGGCTAGCCCTGGCTGGGGTGCTGCTTCACTCGACAGTGTCCGCTGGCTGCGGGAGGCACTATTAGCTGTAGAGCGGGTGGAGGAAGAACCGGAGCGTGAGCTGCGAGAGCCTGAGGAGGAGGAGCTGGGCTTCACGAGTCGGGCTTTGGGGGCTTCCGCATCTTCTCTGAAGGGAACAAGCAAACAAAAACAGCAAAGATAAACTTTAGTATGGCAGGACTGTGATGGCTTCCACTAAAGTAACTTCCTCCTGAGCTTTTCCAATAAATTCCTCAAGCCATAAACCTCCAATAATACCGAAGGAAGGCAGCCATTTAGGGAGCTAAGCACCTCCTCATTTCTTAAGTCTTAAAGCTCCGTTTGGGCAAATGTTTGTTTTGTCAACCCACAGCTCCATTCCGTTAGACCAGAGAATACAGCTGAATATAGAGAATAGATGAGATGGTGTAGATAGACCGCCCTGATTTAGGGTTTAAATCCTTAAATCCTTTCATGCCCTGAAAGTTCCCATCATTTAGCATATGCCCCCTTTACTAGAAGCAAATCAGGACTAATGTAAAGCTGAGAATAGTCTTACAATACAATCTTCTGCCCCTAGACTGCAGCTTCCTACCCACCAAAAGAATCCTTTTAACAGAGGAAGCGAGGCATGTTTATGTTGACTGGTTGCTATGGAACTGATCCTGGAAAGGAAGCTCAGCAGAAGCAGGGCAGCTCACCGGATTTCGTTAGGTCTGTCTTCCTCCTCATATCTCTCTTTGTCTTTCCTTCGGATCAGCAGCCATATCAGAAGAAAAATGAGCAGGGCTCCAGCCACTATTCCCGTCACCGCTCCTGCAACCATGCCAATGCTCTGTACATCTGTTTTCTCAGAAGGAGAGGCACAAGCAAAGTCAAAGCTAGGAAATAAATGAACTCTTAAAACAGGTCTTCCAGCCACACCCCATGATGTTCTCATGTTGCATGACTGTGCCTTTCTATAGTCTTGGGAGATGGAGTTACTCACAGTTGGCCCAGATGATGAGATGGGCTGGGAGGGTTTCTGTGTCATGTTCAAAACATTTTTAACCTCAATAAGATAAATTTGAACAATCTTCTAACCTGTGCCAACACCCTTTTCTCTTAATTTCCTTCCTCTACCAGTAAAATGGAAAAGAATATAACCTACAGTATGACTGTGTGATTAGCAGTGGGTCTCAGAAATTCAGAAGGCAAGGAAATATGATTTCCACATTAATAACATATGCTCTAATTTGTATATTAAATACCTACTCTGAGCCAGGTAGTTCTAGGCATGGTAAAAACAAGTAGGAGTTTTGCTGTTTCTGAGTTCACATTTCACAAAACGGGAGATAATAAAGAAGTAAGTATTTCAGACAATGGGTATGTGAAAGCATAAATCTATGAGTGATAGTTTGGAGGGAGAGTAGAGGAATACAATTTCAGCTTGGGGGCTCAGGACTGAAAGTGATGTTTGAGTTGAACTACAGATGACAGGAAAGACTGTCTTGTGGTGATCTAGGGAGAGGGACACCAGGCAGGAGTAGTGGGTGAGGTGAATGTGTATGGGTCTGTAGCATAGTAAGCAAGGGAAAGAAAGTGTAGGAGATGAAGTCACAGAGACATGAAAGGACCAGCTCACAAGGGGCCTTGTAGGCTATGGCAACAACAATTTTATTACAAGAGCAATAGAGGAGTAGCATGGTCCAAGTTACATTTAAGAAAGCAAAAAGGGGCTGGAGAGCTGGCTCAGCAGTGAGGAGTATTTAGTGCTCTTCCAGAGGACCCAAATAATATAATAAATAAATAAAGTAGGTTACTAATTGTGGTACACTCATACAACCAAATACTATAGAACAATAAGAATGAGCCCAGTATGGTGGCAAACACTGTCATTCCAGGACTTGGAAGGTCGAGGCAGGGGGAGTGCAAGTTTGAAACCAGTCTAACTTTTAAAACTATTTTATTTTTATTATTTTTGTTTGTGTGTGTGAGTGTATTGCCTGCATATGTGTAAGTGCACCCATGTGGTGCAATGCCCATGGAGGCCTGAAAAGGGTGTCAGATCCCTTGGAACTGGACTTAATAGATGGTTGTTAGCTGCCATGTGGGTGCTGGGAAACTGGGTCCTCTGCAAGAGCAGCTAGTACTCTTAACTGCTGAGTCATCTCTCCAGCTCCCAGTCTGACTTTCTAGTAAGTTCAAGGCTGTCCTCAGTTAACACAGTAAGACCATGTCTCAAGAAAATAAAAACCGTCAAGGCTGGTCATGCTTTACCTTAGCACTTAACCTTAGTGTGCTAGAGTTCTTAAAGAATAACTGCTGACTTTATTTACTGAGTATGGTACAGTCAGTCACCAGGTTAGTGACATGCATCAGATTAACAGACAGATTTGTGTATATTCACCTACTAGGGGGTGGGGTGTTTTGACTTTCTTTAGGAAACTTCTTAGAGAAGTAGAGATTTCCCACTGCTGTTGAGTGGACCTGACTTATTCAGTGCTTAAGATTTAGTTTTTAAAATGTATCAGGTGACTGCAGTGTGTCAACAGTGAAAATTTACACAGCAGTAGGAGGAAAGAACTATAAAAATGATAAAGCTTAATTGAAGTGAGGTTATGAAGGTGGTTACTTTTTCTTCCCTGTTATCCAGGTTACATTGGGAAGGTTGGTATGAGCTATTACCAGCTTAAAGAGGAACTAGAGCTTCTGCCCAACTGTCAACCTTGACAAATTGTAGACATGAGTCAGTAAGCAGACACTGGTAAATGCTGTCAAAGAAGACTGGAGTTGCCCCATCACTGATGTGCTGTGACTGGGCTACTACAAAGTTCTGGGAAAGGGAACGCTCCCTAAGCATGTAGGGAGGTTCATTAAATGCTAACAAATTCTTTTCAAAACATAAAATAAAGACTGGAGAGATGGTTCAGGGGTTAAGAGCACTGGCTGTTCTTGCAGAGGACCCGGTTCAGTTCCCAGAACCTGTAATTCCAGTTCAAAGGGATCCAGTGCCCCCTTCTGGCCTCCATGGGCTCCAGGCAGATAGGTGGTGTACTTACATATATGCAGGCAAAACACTCATACATATAAACTAAAAATAAAATAAAATCCTTAAACGAAAATAAAACAAAAACCAGGGCTGGGATGCAGCCCAGTCATTGTTTAGAATACACAAGGCTTTGGATTCCATCCTGGCACCTTATCCCAACCCTCAACCCAGAAAACCCCAACACAACTAAACCTATCACAGCTCTAAGCAACAATGATGAATCTCAAAAACAAAACATGCTGCAGAAGTCAGACACAGATTGAATGATTGCTTTGTTTGAGGTTCTAAAACAGGAAAAGTAACTTGTGTTAGAACCCTGAGTGCTGGAGGGGCGGCAAGAAGCAGTGACAGGTCATGAGCATGGTGTAGGTTACACAAGCTGCTCGCTTGAAATTCTACTGAAATGCATACTCAGGACTCATCTGCTCTTCTCTAGCTTCACTTCATTTTATTTTCTCTTCCAAATCTATAGATTATATCAAGAGGTGCTGCAAAACTGTGGGCACTTTCTTTTTTCTTTCTTTTTTTTTTTTTTTTTTTTTTTTTTTTTTTGGTGATGGGGCCTCATGTAGCCCAGGCTAACCTCAACTATATAAGTGAGAATGACCTTGAACACCTGATCCTCTGTCTCCACCTCTAGAGTGTTGGGATTACAGGTAAGGGCCACCTCACCTGGATAAAGCACCCACTGTTTTATTTTGTTTTAAATAATCTTTCTAATACTTAGTAGTATGTTAGTATGTTTTGTTTTTTAGTTTTTGGCATGTGGGTGTTTCAGACCGTCTTTATAGCCCAGACTGACCTTGAACTTCCTGCTTCAGCCTGCTGACTACTGGGTTACAGGTATTAATTTATAAGATGGATTAATCCTAGCACTTGGGAGGCAAAGGCAGATGGATCTCTGTGAGTTCAAGGCCAGCCTGGTCTATGTAGTTCCAGGCCAGCTGGGGCTACAGGGAGACCCTGCCTCAAAAAGACTGAGAGAGAGAAAAAGAGAGAGAGAGAGAGAGAGAGAGAGAGAGAGAGAGAGAGAGAGAGAGATTGATTCTAAGCTTGGAGTAGTGATTTGTGCCCCAAGTCTTAGTACTCAGGAGGCAGAGGTATAACTGCTACAAGTTCAAAGCAAACCTGGGCTACAGTAAGAAACTCATGGTGGCACGTGCCTTTAAACCCAGCACTCAGGAGGCAGAGGCAGGCAGAATGAGATCAAGGCCAGCCTGGTCTAAAAAGTGAGTTCCAGGCTAGCTGGGGCTACAGGGAGAGACCCTGTCTCAAAAACAAAACAAACAAAAAAAACCCTCACAAATAAATGAATAAAACCAAACAATAAATTATGTCCCAGTATGGCTTGGTTCAACAGCCTAAAATTATAAATTGATTATGGGAAAATAGAAACATTAATAATATGTAACATTATTGAATAGTATATGCCAGGTCCTGGGTAGATAGATAAATGTGTTCATCTGCATAGTTCTCACAGGTAATTGCTCTTACTGTTATACAGATTTAGAAACATGAAGAGTTTAAGTTATATGGCCGGGGTACTACACAGTGGTAGGTGGGATTGAAGTGCAGGCAGTTATTCAGCTCTAGAGTTAATGCTTTTAGGCACTTTATTGCTGTCTCATCTGGGACTTGAAATAATAGACAAGCATGCACATGGGCATACACACATACATACCATAAATAATTTCTATGTAGAACATGTACACTCAGAACACCTACCAGGGCTAGGGAGATAGCTCAGCAGATAAAAGCATTTGCCAAGCAAGTCTGAGGACCTGAATTCAATCCCTGAAATCACATAAAGGTAGAAGGAGAGAACCAGCTCCTGAATGTTGACTCTAACTTCCACATACACACTCACACCTAACATACACAATAATAAATAAAATATTTTTCGAAATCTCGCCAGTCCTCTGGGGAGAGGAGAAATCTTGTCTACTTAGAATAGTAAGTGGGTAGGTTGGGTCATTTGTTTTGGATTTTTTTGTTTTGAAAGGCACTGGGGTATAAACCCAGGGTCTCATAAATGCTAGAAGCAAGCATTCTACCACTGAGCTACATATTCAGCCCTGGCTTTAAAACAAACAAAAACAACATAGAATGTCAGATAAATGCTGGAACTACAGGTGAATATCACCAACCATACCCAGCTCTGTGTGTGTGTGCATGTGTCTGTGTATGTGTGATGCTGGCATTTAATCTAAAGAGTTACACATGCCATGCAAGTGTCACATTGAGTCACATTCCCAGCTCAATAGTTTAGAAGACTGGCTAGTTCACACATTTGTAACTATACACCTTGTTGAATGATTCTTGAAACTACTGAATTTAATTGAGTCATAGTCATATCCTGGAAATAAAGACTTTGACCTTGACCTTACTTTTACCTTTTACTCATGATTAAAACATCTTGAACTGAACCATAATGCAAGAATAAAATTTTAAGATTAAAAAAACAAAACAAAACAAAACAAAAAAAACCCTTTTGGAAACTGAGGGTTTAGCTCAATAGCAGAATACTTACCTAGAACGCTTAAGGCCCTGGGTTTCATCCCCAGCACTAGAGAAGAAAGCAAACAACTTAAGAGATACTCACACTGAACAGTCACTCGTACCACACAGCTTTCTTTTCCAGCCTCATTGCCTGCTGTGCATTGGTACAGCCCAGAGGAAGACATTGTAAGATTCTGCAGCAGAACTCGTCCAGGGTTGTTGTAATCTATACAAGCAGAATAACAATAAATCCCCTTAGCGATAGCATTTATATTGTTTACTGTAGTGCATCACTGACCTACCATGTCCAATAGTTCAATGAGATGGAATAATAGGAAAGATCCACTTTTAGAACATGGGAAAATGGGTAAATATTCTTTCAATTGTAGTGTATCCTCAAGAGTTACAAAAGAGTGTGAATTCTGGGCATGGCGGGTATCTGGGAAGCTGAGGCAGGGGGATCACAAATTTGTGTTCTGCCTGGAGTACGCACTTATTGAGATGCTTTCTATCTTTAAAAAAGGAGGGAGAAGCTATGAATATATCTCAGTAGTAGAGTTCTTGCTTACTATGTGCAAGGTTCTAGGTTCAATCCCTGGTATTGAAAAAAAGACTGACTTTGTAGTTACAAATGTATGAATGAGCCAGTCCTCTGAACATTTAATAGTTACTAAACAAGATAATTAGATGTGGTAGATTTATGTGATCCATTTCTTCTCTCTCTCACTTTCTTTTATATGCCATTTGAAGAAAGAAGTTTTGTTGTTGTTGTCCTAGTTCATAGCTGAAAAATTGAAATTCAGGAGGTTCAGCAGCAAGTCAAGCATGGTGGTGAGTGCCTGTCATCCAAGCAATTAGGAGGCAGAGACAGGATGATCAGGAGTTCAAGGCCATCTTTGGCAACAAAGCAAGGCCATCTTGAGGCCAACTTGGGCTACATAAGACCCTGTCTCAAAAAACAAAACACAAAACAAGAACAGAAAAAGAGTTTCAGGCTGGGCATGGTGGCCCTGCTTGCGATCTCAGCACTAGAGAGGTAAGGCTGAAGGATCAAGTGTTCAAGGCCATACTGAGTTAGATGAGTTCCTATACATGACCTTAGCAAAAATGGTTAAGAAGTGGTCTGTGCCAGTTATTTTATTATTTTATTTTATTTTAGTGTATGAGTGTTTTGCCTGCATGTATGTATGTGCGCCCATGTCATGCAAAGCTCTTTATGACAGAGGTCAGAAGAGTGCATTGGATCCCCTTGAACTGGAGTTATAGACAGTTGTTAGCCACCATGTGGATGCTGGGAATTGAACCTGGGTCCTCTGCAAAAGCTGTCAGTGTACTTAACCACTAAGCTATCTCTTCAATTCCTATGCCAATTAGTTTTTATCATCAGCTTGACACACCTGGGAAGAGGGAACCTCAATTGAAATATTTCCAAAATCAGACTGGCTAATGGCCATGTCTATGAAAGAGTATCTTGATTGATGATTGATATGGGAGGGCCTGGCCTACCTTGGGCAGCACCATCCCTAGGCAGGTGGGACTGGGCTGTATAAGAAACTAGCTGAGCATGAGCCAGAGAGAGCACAAGCCGGTAAGCAGCATTTTTCCATAATTCCTTCCTCAAGTTCCTGTCTGACTTCTGTCAGAGATGGTCTGTGATCTGGAAGTGTAAGATGAAATAAACCCTTTCTTCCCCCAACTTGCTTTTGGTCAGTGTTTTATCACAGCAAAAGAAAAGCAAACTAGAACATGATGATACATGAAGTGGTTTCAAAAAAGCCCAAAACCCAAACCAAACTAAACCAAAAACCCAACCACAACCACATGAAAGGGAGATTCAGCAGTGCAGTCATGTGGTAAGCTGCTGACAAAGCTGATTTGGAATTTATGGACACAGCACTATCTTTTTGGCCCAGAAGACAACTTACCAATCCTAGATTTGGGTGGCAAGTGTTCATCCTCTCCCTCCTTCTCCCGGATTCGCTGCCAGTAATACACAATGGGCTTGGTGCCAGATGCTGACTCACACTGCAGCGTTAGGTCACTGCCTTCTGTCAGTTCTCCTTCCAGCTCACACTTGGGTTTCGATGGTTTCACTGGCAAAAAGTTTTTTAAAAAATTATCATTCAGAGATTCTCCAAACACTAGATTTTGTGGAAGAACTGTCCTGCTGAGCTGTTTCTTCTGCCATGCTCTGTGGCTGAGTTTGGTTGGGTTTTGAGTTGAAATTTACCTAGCCATGCTTTACCTACAAATCACCCAGCTCGCCCCTCAACCCCACTAGCTGCTACCAGCAGTAGCACAATTTGTAGTGGTTGCCTCAGACTTCCACATCACTACTCAAAAAAGAGACATTGTTATTTATTGGAAATTTTAGTAAAGTTAAGTGTAATTTTACTAATACAGGGATAGAAGATGGTTTTGGAGGTAATTAAGTAGAACTTAGTCATTTATTTATTTATGTTTTCTGAGTCAGGGTCTTACTCTGTAGCCCAAGCTGGCTTGAAACTCACTATGTACCTTAGGCTAGCCTTGCACTTGCAGCAATTCTCCTGCCTCAGCCTCCCAAGTCCTGGAATTACAGATATGAGCTATAGAATTTTGTACTTCTTGGTGTCAAAAAGCAGAGGTGATTGCTGCAAAACAATGTTTACTGGGCATGACAGGGCCATTGCACACATGAACTCACAGCAGCTGTGACTGTATGCACAAAATCAAGCCAACCCAAACTCCCGCATACACTGAAAGATTGTCTTGATTGATGATCAATCAAGATCTTGCAGAGGACCCAGGTTCAATTCATAGCACCCACATGGTAGCTAATCCCCTAGCTGAGGAGCTCCTGACAACTGATGGCTTCTAGTGGGAGGGAACATCAGTTTTCTTCAGAGGTGTGGTCCCTGCTGGGCTATCCATGATCCAGTTGATGGTCCTACACCCATGCACATATAGGCAGCACTAAGTGGACTCAGTGGGTTTAAAAAAAGAACAAATGGGGCTGGAGAGATGGCTCAGCGGTTAAGAGCCCTGACTAGTCTGGCAAGTTCCAGGGATCCACCTGTCTCTGCTCCCCAGCACTGTCATTACAGATGTGTGCCACTGCCTTAGGCTTTTTATGTGGGTGCTAGGACTCTGAACTCAAGCTCTTATGTTTGCATACCAGCACTTTACTGACTGAGCCACATCCCCAGATTCTCCATGCCTGCCTTTCTCTGTGGATGCTGGGGCTCAAACTCAGGTCTTCAAGTTTGCAATGACAAGTACTTCATGACGGAGTTATCTTCCCCCTCCCTTTTGTGGTACAGGGTATTGATTTAAAGCTTCCCACTGAGCTATACCCTCAGCTATACCCTCCCTCTTTTTTGAGACAAGTTCTCAATAAGGTATCTTGTTCTTGAACTTATCTTCCTGCCTCAGCCTCCTGAGGAGCTGAGAGTACAAGACCTGGACCAGCAGGCCTAGTTTGGTGAGTTAAATTCAAATATACCAACACCAATGAAGTATTAGAGGATGCTTGCAATTTATAATGAGCTACCACGAAAAACTATAATTATAGGCCAGTAAGATGGCACAGAGGGTAAAAATGCTTGCAGTACAAATGTGGAGATCTGAGTTCAATCCCCAGAATCCATGTTGGAAGGAGAGAATTGATTCCCAAATGTGGAGATCTGAGTTCAATCCCCAGAATCCATGTTGGAAGGAGAGAATTGATTCCCAAAAGCTGTCCTCTGACCTCTGCATGGCACACATGTATACACAAACACACACACACACACACACACACACACACACGAATAAAATAAGATTTAAAAAAGAAAGTGGTAATTATGTTTTCTTTTCTCATTATGGCTAAAATCTAGAACATAAATGCTTCTTTGTGGGAACTGGACCAGGTGACCTCTAAACACAAAATGCAAAGTTCCAAACAAGCGTTTTTTTAGTTAAATATTTTTTTTGTGTGAATTTCATACATCTTAATCATATTTAGCCTCCTATATCCCACCCACAGGATTTCATGCATTTTTGTCATATATGTTAAGGCCTATTAAGTCAAGTTTGTGCACCCAGATGTCCCTCTGTGTGAGTTTATCCATTGGAGCCTGTTCAGCCTGTGTGTCGCTTAACTCCCTTAAAGATCCCTCACCCAGCAGTGACCAGCTGCCAATAGTTCCTCGCCAAAGTTGTATCAGGTGGTTTTGTAGCACCACATTGCAGCTGGCCATTCTTCCCAGGCACCTTAGAATGCAGGTATTTCTCTTGGGGTCCTACCTTACCTAAGACTTTTAAGATGACATGGCTCCAAACATAGCGTCCTGAATTCTTCACTTTGCAGGTGTACCTGCCCTCATCACTGGGCTTCAGAGGTTCAATCTGCAGGGAAGCATCTCCTGCCAGGAAGTTGGAAGCAAAGGCCACTCGGCCCTTCTGTTCCTCAGTCAGGTTATTGTAGACATGATGACTGGAGTAGGTAATCACCTGTGGGAAGACAAGGCAGAGTCAAGCAGTGAACTCTCATCCTTTTTCTTCTGCTGTCAGGAAGAGGAAAGGGCCAGGCATGGTGGTGCACACCTACAACTCCAGCACTGGGGAGCCTGAGGCAGGAGGCTCATAATTCCAGGCCAGCCTAGGCCACAAAGCAAAATCCCGTCTCAAAAGATAAGGAAACAGACTCCAGTGACAGGAAGCAGTCAAGCTTGGAACTGATTCTAAGGTCCTAACATTGTATAAAACAGAAAGTATAAAACATTTTTGTAGGGTGTAGGCCTTGCTTTTCCTTCCAAGAATAATATTTTATATCTGTGTAGCATTTAAAGAGAAAGCACTAACTACTTCATTAAATACTCAGAGCTACTCCATCTTGAGTTACATACTGAAGGTTACACATCTGACTTAAGGAAAGGTTGGCACATGTACAGCCACGCACACATTAAGCAGAGTATTTCTGGAAGGGTACACAATACACAGCATCAGTAGTTGACTCTGAAGAGAACTGACAGGACAGAGGATGAGGATGAAGAGGTGTACCCTTCCCCATAACCTCTATCTTCTGCATTTTCTTTTTTTAAATATTTTATTATTTTTATTTTATGTGTATGTGTGTATTGCCTGTGTGTAGGTAAGTACACCCATGTCGTGCAATGCCCAGGGAGGACAGAAGAGGCTGTAGGATCCCCTGGGACTGGAGTTACAGACAGCTGTTAGCTGCCATGTGGGTGCTGGGATTCGAACCTGGGTCTTCTGTACAAACAACCAGTGTTCTTTACTGCTGAGCCATCTCTCCAGCCCCTCTTCTACATTTTCTACCACTTGTATGTAATCTCTTCAGAGTGCACTGCACTCATGTGCTCGTTGTTCTTGGTTGCCATCTAGTTTATTTCTCAACACTTTTTTTTTTTAATTTCAAGTAGCCTGCCCTACCCCAAGTAGTTAGTATCCCTAGTTCATAGACAGGTGGTAGAATACGGGTCTTTATAGCCACCGAGTTCATTATTCTTTTGTTGTTAGTGTTGAAACAAGGTCTCTAGTCCAGACTGGCTATGAAATCTCTGTGTAGCTGAGGATGATCTTCAACTTCTGATCTTCCTGCCTCACCTCCCAAGCCTTGGAATTATAGGTTTGTCCACCAGGCTTGGTTAGTTCCTTGTTCTTACATACCACAGTTGCCTCTGTCCCTCCTCCTTTTTCTCTTATGCTTATTTAACAATCTATTAACAGTTCTTCCAGAAAATGTAAAAATGGAGGGGAAAAGATGAAACTGAAAAAAGGCTTTTTAAATTACATTTTAATTTTATCTATTTTGTGTATGTATGCCTGTGTATGCATGGAGATCAGGGGGTGACCTGCAAGAGCTGGTTCACTCCTTCTACCATGTGGGTCCTCAGGATGGAACTCAGGTTGTCAGGCTTGGTGGCAAGCACCTTTACTTTCTGAGCCACCTTGCCAGTTCCAGTAATTGTTTTGTTTTTGCAAAAGTTGAGAGTTCAAGGCTGGGGAGATGGCTCAGTTGATAAAGTGGTTGTAATTCAGATATGAGGACCGGAGTTCAAGCTTCAGCACCCATGTAAAAGAACAAGACATGACATACACAGATACAGACACACACGCACACACACACACACACACACACACACACACATAAAACCATTTAAAAATTAATGGTTAAAACTCCGGTCTAGTGTTAAGGGTTTCATTCTTTGGCTTCCTTTCTTGTGCCCCCTGGTTTCCTACAGATAAGAATAAATTACTTGGAAAAATCATGTTTTTTCCTTCCATTAAGGAATGAGCTTGGTGTCTTTGTTTGCTCAGTTAAGAAAACCAAAGTTTAGATTTCCCTAAGAGAAGAAAAGAAACTCCTTGCTAGTCAATGCATGCCTGTCTGCCTGCAGCACAGCCTCCAGTTCTTTAACCTTCTTAGATTATCTTAGTTGTCATTACTGTTAGTCACAAAAACCATGCTGATGGAGTCCACCAAAGCCTCAGTCATGGAACTGCAGCTTCTGCTCCCATTTGATTTTAAACATCAGCAAACATGGGATGACTTCCCAACAAGTTAGAGGAGCCATTCAGACGAGCAAAACCCTCTTTTAGGTTTCAAGTATTTATAATTGCATGAGATCAACAAGGAGAGCAGAATAAATAGAGAATAAATGGAATGATTTAGTTGTAATGTATGTCCCAGAAAGGTTGGAGGTATTTGAATCAGGTTCTGAAAGACAAGCAGACTAAATAAGAGATGAGAGGCAGGAAGTCTACACTCTGACACAAAGAACAGTCCTACTGTAAGTACATGGGAGTCCCCACACATCTCTGCATGCAGCTGTTCCAAACTGTCTCACTGAGCTCCTTAACTGTCCTAAACCATGTGCCTCTGCTCTACAGCTCATCAAATGTTTTCCTGAAAAGATTCAAAGCCATCCAGTAAAGTGTCCATCAGTCTTTCCATTCTATCAACCCTCCTGTGTCATCACACACTTTGTTCTTACTATCTCTTTGAAAAAAACATTTTCCTCTCTGCGTATTCTTTTTCCTCAGGAAATATGATCAACTTTATATGCCAGATACTGTGCTCAGCAGAGAAAGAAACAGGAGTAAGGCACAGTTCCTATGCTGAAAAGCTAGCTCACTATCTTGGTGAAAGAGGGAACATGAGGGAGAAGAGCCTGAGAGAATATTAAACATTATATTTCCAGTTTATTATAACTGAAAATATGTATGTAACACCTAAAATTTTTATTTATTTTTATGTGTATGAGTGTTTTGCCTGCATGTAAGTGCACTCGTGCCATGAAATGCCCGTAGTGGCCAGAAGAGAGCATTGGATCCCCAGGAAGTAGAATTAAGAATGGCTACGGTCATGTGGGAGGTGGGAACTGAACCCAGGTCCTCTACAAGAGCAGTCAGTGCTCCTAACCGCCAAGCTTCTCTCCAGCCCTGTGTGTAACACTTTTATTCAATGCTGTTCTCTTTCAAACACCACTGCTATGAGGCAGGCATGGTGGCACAGCCTAGCACTTGAGGGGTGGAGGCAGGAGGATCAGAGGTTCAAGGCCACCTTGACTACATATTGAATTCAAGGTCAGCCTGGGTTATGTGAGACCCTGTCTCAAAAAAAAAAAGAAAAAGAAAAAAAAAAATCTCTGGTTTTGGTGGTGGTGGTAGAGTTTGTCTGTCTGAGAGAAAATCTATCAATCCTCCTGCTAGACTCCAAATAGCTGGGCTGATAGGTGCATGCCATCATACCTGATATAAGCTCCAATTTACTATGTCCAGCTTGCTGATTGCTAGACATAGGAAAACTGGACATATTCTGACATCTCAAATCTTCATAGTCCTGCCAAGTCAATCTTCCTAATGTAAAATGTACAGTAGCTCTTTTAGCTCAAAACTCAAATGGTCCCCACCACCTCTGAAAGACTCAGCCTAGAGGTTTCAGAATCCCTTCTACATTACCATCCCATCACCTTCCTCATCTGCTCCACTTCCAGTGTCTGGGAATAATCAGCTTGCTTCATTTCCCTGTGATCAATACAAGTTGTGCTTTCTGTATGCTCTCTCCCTGGCCTTTGATGACTGTATTATCCCACTTAGATAAGATTCTCTTTGTCCACATGAAGCTCTGTTCATTAAGTTTCAAGTCAGAGTTAACTTCTCATGAAACCTTTTTTAATGACAGACTGAAGAGAGTTTCTTCACTTTGTTCTCATCCACAGTATTTATCTGTATCATTTGAAAAAATTAGGGGGCTGGAGAGATTCAGCGGTTAAGAGCACTGACGGCTTTTGCAGAGAACCTGGGTTTGATTCCCAGCACCCACATGGCAGCTACGAACTGTTCTTAACTCCAGTTCCGGGGGAATCCAAAGCCCTCTTCTGACCTTCATGGCACTGCATAACATGGGTGCACTCACATACATGCAGGCAATACACTCATACACATAAAGTAAAAATAATAATTTTTTTTAATTGGGACTGTAGATTGAACCCAGGACTTTGTGCATGCTACACACAAGCTACCTCTGAGTTAACACCATTAGTCCCTGAACCTGAACCATTTTCATTTAAAGAATAGTTGTGAAAGACTTCGAAATGGACATTTACTTTGCTGGATTTGTTTTCTTAATACTGGGCATTGTCCAGGCTTCCCAGTACAGTTACCTAATTTTATATACAGTTGTTTTTTCTTTGGCTAGGCTATTTCCTGACTCTTTACTTACTGTGACTTTATTAAAAATGTACTTTGAACCAAGCATGGTGCCTCACACCCATTATTCCAGCACTTGGGAGGCTGAGGTGGAAGGAATGCCATGAGTTTGAGGCCAGTCTGAGATACAGGAAAAAACTTTTTTCTTTTTTTTTTTTTTTTTTAAGAACTTTGTCCTAGTTTGTTTCTCCATTGCCGTGACAAAACACTCTGACCACTACCAACTTGGGGAGTGAAAAGCTTTTATTCAGCTTACATCTCCCAGGTCACAGTTCATCAGGGAGCCCAAGGTAGGAACTCAGGGCAGGAACCTGGAAGCAGGAGCTGGAGCACAGGCCATGGAGGACCACTGCTTACTGAATTGCTCCCCTGGCCCCTGCTCAGCCTGCTTTCTTATGCAACACAGGCCCACCTGCCCAGGGGTGGCACCACCCACAGTGGGCTGGGCCCTCCCATGTCACTCAACAATCAAGAAGGTGACCCATGAACATGGCCACAGGCCAGTCCAATGAAGGCAATTCCCCAATTGAGGCTCCCTCAACCCAGGTGTGTCAAGTTGACACTAAAGCTGTCCAGCACAAACTTCAAAAACACAAAGCAAACAAAACAAATCCATACTCTGTGCTTTGTGTTGAGCTAGACATGACAACACACAAAGAAATTAATACTGTTAAATGCTAGAGTACCCCTAAAATATTTTATTTATTATTATTGTTTTTTATTTATTTTTATTTCTTTATTTCTTTCTTATTTATTTATTTATTTATTTATTGATT